TGATGCCACGATATGAATTGCATGATTACGTGTTCAATTATTCTGTAAATTAATTATCGGCGATGAGTTTACTGAGTATTTCATCGAAATACTCATTCTGTCATTTTAACCATATTTGCAGATTTTGAAGATGGTCAAGTTTGATGGGCAATGTGGCAACGATTTAATGAATTCAATTATTTACATTTTAAAATTTCGTATTTGAATGCTATTAACGTACTTGTTATTTCAGTATTTCCAAAACTTGAGATTTGAAGTTTAATCAAATTTCTTAAGTTAATTAAATAAGTTTTGTCGACTTTTCGAGGCCTTTTACCGTTATAAAAGTGAAGTTTGAAATTTAGTTATTTTTCGCAAATCTTGTTAGTTAAATCGGTTACAAAAAAATATGACGTGGCAATCCGGGTTCACGGAATTAGGGGCGTTATAGAATGACTGTGAGTATTGTGGTCCTCCTAACACTATTGGGCTGGTGCTATTTGTGTTATTTGGTATTTGACTTATTTTTGGGCCATTAGTTGTCTAGGTGTCTCTCACTTACTGTGGCTTTGGCTTCACCTGGATTGTGTTTGTTTACTTCTATTGTGAGGTCACAGAGGAATACCTTATGGAACTTATGATTAAGTAGTACAAGATTATTTATCTTTCCTAGCTATCAATGTGCTTATGGTAATTGGTAAGAACTAATGCTTTTATTGTGTATACTGTACTACCATTAAGAAAGAGAATATGTTCACCAGCACGTGTTTTTTCAAGAGAAGAAACACAGATCTTAGTGGTTGGATTTTTCCACGATGTGAACATGGCTGATCTTAGTGGTGAAATTGGATATGATGTAAAATAACTAATTTAACTATCAGTTTCTTTTTACTAGCTCGTCTCCTAAAAAGATTGGGTATGTACAGGAGCAAGTGGTCTTGTTTCAACTGAGAATGGAGCTTGTAGAACTTCGTTACATTATATATGTGCATGGAAGGAAAACATGGACTGGAGATGGAGAAATCTTGGATTTAATGAGGGTGAATTACATGCATTTTGCGCAATACATTTAGAAGTTCAACATAACTGTGGAACTCAACATGTAGGGGATGTTTTGATAGCAGTTGATTTTGTTTCTAATGCAAATATGCATCAACAGATGGTGTCCTCATTAAGCGAGCATCACAATTTTTCAAATTGGACATAGGTGTGATGATAAATTGGCCATTCTCAGTACTACTATTGATTTGGATCAAGCAAGCTGAAGGATAATATATGGTATGAGGACTCGTAAGATAATTGGTGAAATTCCTAACCCCCACCAGACAGCGGTGATGCGTGTCAACTTACCAACAATGATGCAATGGATAGCGACAAAGAATATCAAGGAGTGACTTTATATATATAGAATTTGGATGAGAGGTTTGGCGATGAAAACTCAAGAAGCTATTTGGCGATGAAAACTCAAGAGTTTGGTACAATCACGTCATGCAAGGTTATGCAAGATCCTGGTGGTTTAGACACACTAAGGGCACTGGTTGTGAAGATCCTAAGCTTCAGGGACTTGGCTTCTCTTGCTTGGGCAATGCAGCGCTATCAACATCCCCATTAAATAGACAAATTGGACCACCCGAAGGAAGCCTGGTGAACAGGCAAGCGGCAGCACAACAGAGAAATGGACTTGATTCCTTTTAGCTTGAAATCGCTAGATTTATTTAATTACCTACTTTATTTTACTGATTTTACTTAAGTGACCTGGTTTACTCTTTCATTAATATTTGTAAGGCTTAATTCTTAATATAAGAGAGCAGCTTAGGGTTAAACATGGTTGGTTTTTGCATTTTGAACCTAACTTAACGGCTAGAGATTTATGCCAGCCTTTTAATCTTTATTCGCTGGTTCAATTGTTGAATAATGGAATTGGATAGGTTGATGCTTTACTTTGTTTGTCTTGTAATTGATTGGAGTTTCTGCAGCACCAAAATCTGAGAAATTGCCCTCAAATTTAATCCAAAACCACCATTCTATGCCAAAATAAATCTTGACGAATTCAAAGTAAATGGACAAACACTACGCTTGGTATTGTGTAATAAAAAGTCCGGGAATCAACAGGTGCTGATATTTCTGGAAACCATATTTTCTCAAAAGTTACAGCACACTCCAAAACGAACAAGGAAAACCAAAGCAAGAATCAAGAAATTTCAATAAGGTAGCTAAGTTCTTCCTGCAGCTTTGAGCCACCATTGAAAACCCTAAGCGGCTGCTCAAATTCTCTGCAAGTCCGATGCACCGCGAGGGAGACAGACTAATAATCATAGCAGTTGTGACCCCATTTAAGAATTGCAAAAATGCACAAAGGAGAGATGAAGCAACAAAATTTATTGGCGACGGTAAATTACGATCTAAAAAGTTCTATTTATATAGCCTTAAACGTAAGCATTTGTCCATGAGCGATGGCGTTCCACAAAATTATGAACTTTTTAACTAAAAGGTGAAACAAAATGAGAAGATTTATTTATTTATTGCTAAGGATCACACCATATGATCCGTGAAGTCTTAAAATGGAACGACACACAAATTTTGACATGAAAAATATAGTAGATAGTTTCCGAACATGTCACTACCCTCTAAACTTCCTCAGTGCACCCAAAATCATTCCAACATGTCCTTTTTGCACAATATCACTTAGAAACTCATGCCTAATCTATAAATGAACAGTCCTAGGATGTTGTAAGTATTAAGAACGTGAACTGAGAGTAGATAATTATCTCAATCTAGAGTCAGACAATAAAACTGAAATTAGTGTCCTGAAGATCATATATACCAGAGATGAAACAGCTGTATTTTTCTAATATCCCATCATTGTCATGACAAAACACGTTAACCCAACTTGGACCGAACCCTTCCACTGGGTCTATTGGTTACACTTGGGTGATGTGCAGAAAAAGCTTCATAGATAAAGAGTTTGCTATAGAAACTGATGCCTAGAAAAGGATACGAAAGCAGTAACAATAATAGTAAACTGCAATACTACAGTACAGGCTAATACTCCAAATACACATCAAAACAACCAATAAAGAGAAATAATGGCTGACGCTGAAGAGTGGAATTATCCATCGAGGAAAATGAAACTAATTTCTGAAGAAAAAAAAAACTCTAAATCATGAACTCTAAAACCTCAAACATGTAAAATCTATTGTCCGAAATTTCCAAATATATTGAGGAACGTTGCCAGAAATTAGAAACAGCTTCTGCGCCTTCCAGTAACAACCACCACCGCAAAAAGCTCGAAGTAAATCACCGGCCACAAAAAATCACCACAACCAATCATCCATTTTGCAGAAATCAAACTCAGAAATAAATAAATAGTAGATCAGGTGGTGTCGATTGAGAATTGTGGGGAAAGGAGAGAAGAGAAATGGGTTTGGGACTTTCGAGAGAGAGAGATTGATTCTTTTTCTTTAAACAATGATTGGATTGGAATCCAAATTGATCACCAAACTATTTTTTCAGGTTGGGTGCACGACCAACTCGATAATTGAATCAATTGGGCTCCAAACAGTGAGTGGATCATTTTGTCGATTTGCGAGTTTTTCCTCAACCCTTAATTAGTAATGGCAACCTATTTATTATCTATACATTTCGTGAAATTTAATATTATTCCTCCTAAAAAAGTTACTAATATAGCACGTGATCAAAATAGATGTATGGATATATTATGAATTGTCCAAACAAGAATTTTCGAAATGCATTTCTGCCTAACTTCATTCACAAAAGTATACAAGGCATAAAAATGTGCATGTTGTGAACTAAATTAATCAACACTTCATAAAGCAAGATACTACAGCAGAAACTAATATTATGGACCAATTCAATAAGATCTTCCAGAGAATAAAACCAACACAAGGACAGATTGGATGCTTTTCCTTAAATAATAATTTTGTAGGATATATTAGTATAAAGAACTAAATACAATGGCAGCTGTTGACGGTCAATGGCCCTAGCTCATTCGACATCTTGGATCTGTCACTGGCAACAACATTAGAAATCAATTTTAAGGATTCAGACCCACTGAACAAATAAAAAAGAAGTATCCCAACTTAATCAAGCAAGACGAAAGCATTTCGAACACCAAATTAAGCAAGTCTTGACCAATGAAATAGCCTCCATAATCTTCAACCATGCTGCACTTACAGTTGACACTAGCATCAGTTCACAAGGATTGAGAGGAGGGTTTTGTTAAGAGATAGAATCCCACATCAAATAAAGATGTAAACATAGACCAACTTATAAAGGATTGAATTACTCTTCTTAATAAGGTTAACCTTTTAAGATGGAACCTCAATTCTTAATAGGTTCATGTCTCTATCTCGTGCATATACGTTTTCTTTTATTTATGCACAATACAGCTTATTAGCAGAAGGTTACAACATATTGTTCATACACACTATGGAGATGAGGAGAAATTAAAGGGAAAGAGTATTTTAATGAGATCAAGAGATTGAAGGAAATTTTATGGCTTAGGCTGATATCAATGAAAAATGACCCTGGGGAAAAGAGAGAGAACTTACCTACTATGCCAACAAGGAAATTACTCAAATCTGACAACGACAAATGGAGAAGCTTTCTCAAATTCACGTATCTTGGATTTCAACTTCAACTCATTTTTAATCCTAGACATGTCCATCACAAACCTCATCCTAAATAATGAATGTGCATTGGCCAGCAAATACTTCACCAACCCCAGTTCGCTTTCATTTCCTCCGAAATTCTCTATCATAACATATATTAATTTATGAAAGGCTCCAACAGCATCATCATTTACCAAATTCAGCTCCAAATCAGGATTTACAAGAATTTGTCCTTCTGATCTCTGATAAAAGAAAAGGAAAGTAGTGGAAAGAGAGTGGGAAAGAGCACTAAAATACAAAAAGCTTATTTATGATAAATAGATTTAAATGCATAGCTTTTTACCACAATGTTAAGCCGAAGCACAGAAAGGTTTGGACATCTACAGACGACAACCATTGCTGTCTCAATGTAGTCCTTTTTTGGCCACAAATTAATTGTCAAGGACTTCGTATTATAAAATATATTAGAAGCAAAGCGTCTTCGCAGATCACGGGCCATGGAAAGAGCCTGAAGCCAATCAAGAAACATATTAAGAATCACATTCCAAACTATATGTTTAATTATACACAGGCAAATGCATTCACCTGAATAAGCCGATGGTTGAATTCTACACGAGTTGCCTTAAAAAGCTCCCTGGTAATTTTGATCACAGATTGACTAAATTCATCGATGCTTCTGATTTTCATTATACAAGGAACTTCAGCATTAGCAACAAATTTTAACGTATGTGGAGGTATGTTAAAATCATAACATCTTCTAACACCACCAGCATATATAAATTGCATGAGATTTGGAGCTTGAATGCTGATGGAGCATCCATCCATCCCTGGACAGCTACACATGATAAAAGTTTTTAATCTGGCAGCAGAAACAGAAAGAACTTTAAAACTATTGATATTGCAAAAGAAAATTGACAGCTTTTCTAGTGCCGGCAAACTCGAGAAAAGTTCTTGTCTTAAACCCTGCTCAGACAGTACCAAAAACTTGAGGCTTAGTTTTCGGAGGTTGGGAAGTTCAAAGGTTTTAGGCCACACGAGAACATCATTTACTAATGCCAATTCCAGTTTGACAAGGGACTTGCATGCAAATAAACAATCTGGAAGCTTTTGGACTTCATCAATGCTTCCATAGAGGACAAGCTTCTTAACATTGTGCAGTACAGCAAATACAATCCAATCATTCTTGATCAGAAAATTATAGTGATTTGAAGTAGAAAGGCAGAATTCAAACACATGAATATCTGACTCATCATGTAGAGCAAGTACTTGATTGATGAAATTGACAAAATTATCCCTCTTCCTTTCCATTTCCGGAAACTGATTATAGTCAAAACAAAGATTTTGAAGGGAATAACATGTTGTCCTCCAGGTTCTAGACAAAATGCTAGTTCGTGTAGCATCAATTGTTGGAAGGAAGGTGAGAATGTGCCTTCGAATTTCTTCTGGCAACCTACTCAGATTATCAGCACTTTCCATTGTTAGTTTCTTATTGGAAGCATCATAGTGGCCAGCCATTGTTTCCCTCCAGGTTTAGAGAAAACCAATACCTAAAGATGGAAAGATATAAAGTATGACAATAGGTATACATTCTCAAAGGTAACTAAGCTACATCTATTAATTCAAATTAAATTCCAGAAATGAATGAAGCTGCGGAAAATAACTATGTGAAGAGTGGGCCATATTTATCTCCTTTGGAAATTGACAAAACTAAAAAGGATTTTTCAACGGACTGGTGGTTTACAAGTGCTGAGTTTGGCAACATTTCTCTAGATAAAAAACAAAGTTAAATGTTGTCAACTCAGCACCTATAAACCAATTTGTTAAATAACATTTGTACAAGTAGCATTTTTGTAAAGATAAAACCTCTAATACATTAGTATTTACTAAGTGACCAGTACATAAGGTAAACAACATCTATATTATGGAAACCAAGGAATTGTAAGGTTTTTGCTGTTATGGTCCCTTCTTTCCCGCCAAAATAATATAATAGTACACCAAATATTTGAAATGTCTATTTTATTTGTTTCTAACATTGACAATCTACTTCTATGTCATATGCCCATGAAAGGAGCCTTTTGTGCATGACCTAAGATATTTCATGTGAGAATGAAAGATCACAATTTTGAATTTCGTATCATAGGAGTATTAAAACATCTATAGGCATCGGGCTGTTGCACAAAGGAAAGAAATCAGGAAACCCTATTCATCAAACCTACCAAAACTAGATAATAACTTTCTAGTATTAACTCTAAAAATCAGGGATTAGTCAATCGTGTGTGTGTGTGTGTGAACTCCCCGTCAAGTTGGTTCAAAGACATTTATAAGTCCCAACTTGCATATAAAATTTCCAAATTTAGCTCCATTTACACATTTCACGAAGATATATGTGGAAGTTGACCTTTACAAGGTACGAATGGTATCTAATTTGACCGGTGTCGATCCTTTCCTTATTGACCTTTCCTTGAATGTTTGTTTATTTCAACATGTTTAGTTCAATCATGATGTACTAAGCTTAGCCAAACCACTAGAACTTCTCTACATCACCAGATTACCTCCATCAAAAGGTGCAACACTAAGGTTGTTGATCATATATTTACTACTGAATCTATCCAATCTACCTCTCTATAGGCTTCAACCTTCAAAATAGAACCCATTATTTGAAAAAATTAAGCCTCCATTTGGCAAAATTATTAATCATTTATAAATGATCAAACTGTATTTTCTAACTCTTTAGCCGAGATGCCTCATATTCTCTCCATTTCTTGTTATAACTAGTAACTACTATGTCTTCCACATAGTCTATAAGTACTATAATTTTCTTTGTGATGTATACTCAACAAAGAGAGAGTGATCACTTTGCTTTGAGCGCCTTGGAGAACCTCTCGAACTGCACTCGACAAAGACTTATTTATTTTGCAGATTCTTCCTTGCAATTATTATAATAAATCCATGACGTAGATCCATATAGTCTTCCTCTTCCAAGCCGTCAAGTATAAAAGCATACTAAATATGAAACAACCCAACTACATTTGCAACTACCGTCAAGGGAACTCTTATAAGCAGATTTAACAACCATTTCTCCCCAAAAGCGCTTAGGACCGTTTCTAGAGAACATGAGAGCACAAGCAACTTCAAGAAGGTGACCGTTTGTTCTTTCGGCTACACCATTTTATTAAAGAGAGTTGGTACGGTTATCTAATATCATTACACATAAGATACGTCCATTTTTTAATGTACAAACATCTCATAATCAACAAAATACTTTTCTATATAAATGAATTACATTTGTCTTAGCTAGAAATTATTTGTTTAGACATATTAATAAATTCATAAAGTAGTTATTTAATATTTGAAAAGCTAATAAAATATTTTATTCAAGTTTTATAATAGGCACTAGAACATAATTGTATTGCACGTGTAGATTGAAAATAAATTAATGAAATGATAACAACAAAATTACAGATTTCCTATTAATGATATGTATATGTTATAGATAGCAGAAAGGCCTTTGGCGCACAGGTAGCGTTTAAAAATGTCTAAACCTGTGGTTATCGGACTGACCCTTAATCCCTACATCTCAAACAAATTTTTGAAAATCGGTAAAGAACTGGTTAACCTTGTCAAAAAGGTTTAATAAAAGCCATCGATTTATTCGGATATTAACTGGTTCTTGACAAGTTCAACTGTTGTTTGGTCCATTAGGTATGCTCAGTGAAGTTAATTTATTGTGATATCTAATAGAAAGGAATATCAAATATATAATTCTGGAATGATAAGGTTCATCAATACCTCGTAAACTTCAAAACCAAGATCATTAAATCAACATCTGAGCACAAGTTTAGGTACAAGAGTTTTAAGGACAAAAAGTTAGGATGATAGTATCTACGAGTTAATTGTTTCAAAAATCACTTAACTACCACGGTCACGGACTATTAGCTGAACTTTAATATGATTCACGCTACTCTCCCTTGTTTATCTCACTTTGAAACAAAACTCTTTATTATCGTACTTATTTTTAACCATAAATTTATAAAAGAAAATATTTTGCACTTAAACTCAAAAAATTTTCCACTTTTTAACCATACATTATTTTAAAAAATCACTATTCAAAACTCTATTTTTTTCAAAATAAAGACCATCAAGCTGAAGTTTCTCGGTTTGCACTACATCCATCACCCCAAAAATTCGTTACCATTTCTGCTGACGTGACTGACAGAGTTTTGACCTGGTAATTAATGCCCGTTAAAAACACACCAAATCATCTTTGGCGTCCTAATCAACATAACTTAAAAAAAATCAAAGAAAAACAAAACTGACATTTCCGGTCATCTTCTTCAGAATCCATCACCCCTCTACCGTCAATCCAATCCTGACGCCACAACTGTAGCAGCCACCTCCGGAAAATTTGAATTTACAAGCTCTAATAAACTTTGTGCTGCAAATTCAAATACACACCAGTACCCATCTCTTAAAATGACACAATTTACAGAACTAGATTTAACCTCATATCCTCCTTCGCCATTACCAAATCCTCCATCAAATTCTCACTGATTCAGATTGCTATGCTTCACCCTCCATTCTCTAGTATTACCTAACTAATTTCCAACTCGCAGATTTTTAGAACTCTGTTTGCGTTCTCATATCGTGTTAACACCATTGATACTCAAGTCCAAACCCCAAGTTCAATAGCAAAAAGGATTAACAGCAAAAAAAATAAGAAAATATGGTAGAAACATTAACACCAAAGTTGAGTTCAAGATCCTGGTGGCGGAGATGGACCATGTTAGAAAGGATTTTGGACCTAACTCCACCTAATAAAACCGGCTTATTAGGGGAAGATTGCACTCACCTTATAAAGTGGATCATTTATATTTTCCCAAACAATGTGGGATTCTAATACGCCCCCTCACGCACAGCGTGGACCATGCCAAACAACTGTGAACAAATCGATATTGGGTGGCACCCAACATTGCATAATTGGGCCTAACTCTGATACCATGTTAGGAATATTGGGCTTAACTTCACCTAATAAAACCGGCTTATTAGGGGAGGATTGCCCTTACCTTATAAAGTGGATCATTTATATTTTCCCAAACAATGTGAGATTCTAATAGGCTTGAGTCATTCATAATCATCACCATTGCCGTTGGATCTCCACAATTATCTATCCATAAGACCTTCCTGATTGCCCTTAGGTTGGCATTCTTCTTTGCTGTGTTTTACAGGCAGCGGGATGCCACAACCGGCGGATTCTTACTCTTCAGGATGACATTTGCATCCCATTCGATACCTAAGTTTCGCCCTGTGGCATTTAACTTGACAGACTTTGGGGCTGTGGATGATGGGGTCATTATCAACACGGAGGCATTGAGCGGGCAATGATGGCCATCTCGAGGCTCGGGAAGGACTTTGGTTTTGATTTTGATTTTTTATTTATTTATATAAAGATTAGCCAAATACGTGTTTTGAAAAACACGTGTCATGCGATTTATGCTGATATGGAGGACTTCGCTAATTTGGTGTGATTTAACCGGGTGTTAGTTGCCACAGCAAACTTCCATCTACCACATCAACGAAAATGGTAACGGTTTTTTTACGGTGATGGATGGATTGCAATGGAGAAAGTTCAATGATCAGTGTGAAATATATTCAAGTTCAGTAAGCAGTCTGTGACCATATTATAAGTCAAGTGATTTTTGAAATAATTTGCTCCAATATCTACAGCATATATAGAAGCAACATTTCTTACTCTTGCTTTGGTTAAAAAATATCAAATTCATTGAAGCACTTAATGAGAGAGGTGTTAGATATGTAATACAACTTGGCAATAGAAATGATGAGAATCAAATGAGTGATAAGGAGATGAGAAAATTGTCAAATTCAAATTCAATGATAAATGCAAAGTTGTTAATTTGTTAATTGATAATTGTTATCTATTTTTTGAATAAATACTAGTTATAGAAAGTTATTGAACTTATTTTATTATAAATAGGAATAAATGTGTGCCAGATGCTTATGGCTTATGGTCATTACTCAATAAAGTTATAAACAATCTTTTATTTATTTTAAAGCCTTTTTTTCATATTTTCTTCTTGGTACCAGAACGATTGTGAGCACTCGACACACCACTAAGTCTTCTCTTCCACTATCACTTTGTTATCCGTAAATGTTGACAACTTTTTTACACTCATCTATCATTAATTCTCGTTCATCAAATACATCCCACCAAATCTAAACAAAAAATAAACAGAAAATTTCATACCAAAACTGACAAATGAGTTCATGAAGAGATTGATCGTTTCACTAATGAAGATGTTGACCGCACCATATACATCACATCAAATCCAAACAATACAAAAAAAAAAAAAATCACACCAAAATTAATAAATGAATTCATTGTCCGAAAAAAATCGGATCCTCTCATTCATGGTTGGATCATCACACCGTTTGAAGAAGCCATTGGACTCCTTATAGGCTTAGACCCAACCTATGCAATATGGGAAGCACTTAAAATGCTTATATACACAAGTGACATATCTTCGCAAAAATGAAGATAAAAATCATTGTTGGCTTCTTCATCAAACCAATATCCATAGTAGCTCTTAATTTTTTGATAAATGAGGATCCGAATCAGACGAGACCGAGCTGTCTGATAGTACGTTAATGACACTAAGATACCATGAGTTGGCGGATCAGTGCAAAATTAACAAATAATCTCCGACCTTTCCTAATTGGGGCCTTTTTGGACACGTTTCGGTATTTTGGCCATAACGTTGGCTACGGTTGTAAGAATCACGCCCATGACCCCAATTCGAAAAGCTCTTTTTGGCTCGCACGTCATGATCACCTAGCTATGCTCGGTGTGCATCGATTTCAAGGCCAAATTCAGCTGTTTTTTCTTCCGAATTATCAATTTAAGTTATTTTTTGTCATTTTTAGTAATATTTCAGTTACCTTTTTGACATAGATTACGATCTCAAATTAAGTCAGATTTTTGGGATCTAATTTCAGTAAATACGTAATTCATTTTGGTATGAATAACTATTGTACTGTCATTACGTGTTTTCTTTCGGTATGAATAATAGAATTTTGCTATTTTTGGTAAAATTCTGATAATTATTATTTTTAAACTATTTAACCCGGCTTGTGGGTTATTTTCGTTCAGTTGTTGAATAATAAAGATTTTCTCATTTTTCTTAGTGTTATTCTATTGCATTCTTCTCTATTATTGTTTATTGGTTCCAACCTGTAGAATAATCACTATTCTGCCCGGCGTTATTTTTCGAAGCAAAGTGTCCCTTTAGCCCGACACGGTTTGCGATAGGATATTAGAAATGTTACACAACTTGGCAACAAAAATGATGATGATCAAATGAGTGTTAAGGAGATAAGAAAATTTTAGAGTGATAGGATTGTCAAATTCAAATCAAAGGATAAATGCGAAATTGTTAATTTGTTATTTAATAATTGTTATCTAATTTTTTGATAAATACTAGTTATAGAGAGTTTTTGAACTTATTTTATTATAAATAGGAATAAATGTGTGCTAGGTGTTTATAGCGCATGGTCATCATTTAATAAAGTTATAAACAATCTTTTATTTATTTTAAATCTTTCTTTTTCATATTTTCTTCTAGGGACACATTTATATCATTTAAATATTATTTTTAACACGCCACCTAGATGAGGTTCATTTTTTTGCAAAAGTCTAGCTATCACGTGTACAATTTCATTTAATGGCTGACGATGTAACTAAAACTCAAGACCTTTGTATTTTGTTCTAGATTCCAAAACTTAAACTATAAGATAAGGCTATATATGTTTTTATATCATTTTCATATTGTTTTCAGCACAGTCCACAATCATCCCTCCTTGTAGTAAGGTCGTAAGTGATTTCAGAAGGACTAACATAACAATGTGAAGATCTAGTTAGCCATTGTCAAATGATAGCACATGGCTTGATTGTCTAGATATAACCATCGAATTTTCTCCAACGCATAGCCCATCTTTCCCTTGTTCTTATTATAGCGTTTCATTGATTGAGATCCCTTCACTAAGTAAAACTATCTCTTTGAAAGCTAATTTGGATACGCAGGTCTAGATCTATCTCTTTCAGCTACAAAAGATTTTAGTTCTTCACTGAAAGAAGACAAACTATTTATTAAATTAACTAAAGAAGCTTGATACCACTGACCGTGTCACTACCCCCACCACCCCTATGATGCACCGATATGGACATGTGCGTTGGACACGCGATTTTTTTAAAAAGTATAGACACGACACGACACGACACTTCATCGACCCTTGATTAAATTCTTAAAAATTCTTCATTTATATCGTATAAATTTAGTTTTATACTTAATATTAATTTTTCTTGTTAAAACTTTTTAAACATGAGTACCTATTTGTTACTTGTTAATAACTTTGAATTAATAATATATAATATTTCTAATATAAAAAGAAAAATGATTACGATAGAGTGT